GAGAGTATGGAGGGATGGTCACTGGGAAGAGGTAACTATGGGAAGGAAGTAGGAGGGGAGCTGTTGCATTGTGGTAAACTGTGGTCAATGACATGAGACAAAGTATTTGTGAACTGATGTATGAAAAGTGAATTTGCTCTATAAATCTTCACCCAAATCACAATTTAAAAAAAAATGGCCAAAAAAAAGAGAATCTTGTTTAAAATAAAGTTTCTGGTGGTCATAGAATAATCCCCATCAGATGGATATGCCATGGGACAGAGTAAGACATTGCAGTCATTCTCACCTTATTTATTTATTTACAGTAGTAAATAACTGCAGTGAACATGTTTTCACACAAATCTTTTATTTTCTTAGGATAAATTCTGAGAAGTAGTATTTCTGGATCAAAAGGTAAGAATATTTCCAATGCTTTTGATTTTTACTGCCAACTAGCCCTTCAGGATGGTTGGTCCAGTTGGTACCAGTGGTGTTTGAACCCAGTTTTTCCATACCCTCCTGCACAGTGGGCATGGTTTGGGGAATTTTTTCCACCTGAGAATTCTTTTTCTCCTCCTACAGCTCTCCTAGTCTGAAAATTTCCACCCTTTTTCCTCCCCACTTGCTTTCTGGGAGGGGTGTTGTCAGGTTGTTCAGCAATCCAGTAGTGAAGGTGGGTGAGTGAGGTAGCCCCCTCCCAAGGCCCTGAGCTGGTGACAAGGAACTGGACTGTAACTGGATACCTGCAGTGCTGGGCTAGGGGCCCTGTCTGGGGGATCTAATTACAAATGTGGAAAGGCAGGCTCTGGCCTACTGGATCTCTGGGTCTAGGGAGAGCCATGCTATCACCCAGGAACCATCTCAAAATGGAGATCCCTGGACAGTTGGAACGGTGATTGGGAAGCTGCATTTTTAATAAGCACCCTAGCATAGCATGGGGCCTGCCTGTCTGCATCCAAGGGTGATGTTGGACCAATCAGTTTTTAAACCTTTGTTTAAAAACCTTATAGATGGGGAAGAACACTGGAGTTTCACATGGGAGGTGTACAATCCTTCAAGCTTATAGGGTAATTGGGAAGATTTAATGAAAAGGCAAGTAAGGGCTTGGTTTAGTGTCTGATACACAGTAAGGGTGGTGGTCTGCTACCGTTGGGAGGTCTGGACCCTGCTTTGAGAAA